TATATATATATATATATATATATATATATATATATATATATATATATGGTAAAAACCCTTTTATAGATCATATCATTATAGAGATTTCTTCCTTCACCTTTTGATAGGTCCCTATTCCATTAATTAGTTCTGAAAATATAAAGAGAAGAAAACGAGAGACTAGCTCCTTTCTTTTGTTGATTAACGAGGTATGCAAATCAAAATACCTTTCAATTCTGACATTAAATTTTTATATAATAATTTTATTTTTTACAATTGGTATCAGAATCATGTCATCAAAATCTAAATTATCATATATTATTATTGAAACTAGATCTATCTATATATTAGATCTATTTTTAATCTATTTATGCATTAGATCTATTTTGATTATATCAAATTATTATTTCTATTTCGATCATATGATGCTTGCATGATCTGTTTAGACTTTTTCTCCAAAACTATTTGTTTGTTTGCGGACGGTGGAGATGTCTCACTCATGAGGAATAAACAAAAAGCAGAGTTATTGTGTTCGGGCATTGGTAGGGTGTTGTCCCACGTGGAGGGGCGACGACATGTTGTGATCGTTGCCTTGCTAGGGGCTGCTATTGTTGCTCGCATATGGGTCATTGGCTTTATAGTTGGCAACACTACTGTGGTGGCGACGTATTGTATGGGAGTTGCTATTATGGGCTAAGGAACGTGGTCGGAACTAAGAGGGGGTTGAATTAGTGCAGCGGTAAAAATTTCGTCGGTTACAAAAATTTCTTCGTACGTTGAAAACCAATTTCGGAAACTTAAAACACATTTGTAAATGTATTGAAAGCAGTAAGCTATTAAAAAGGTTTGCGATAAATTGCTCAAAGTAAAATGTAAACTATATTTTAGAGTGGTTCGGTCGTCGTGACCTACATTCACTTCGCTGATTCCTCTTCCGTTGAGGCCACTAGCATCCACTATTGATTTTTCTTTAATAGACGAAGATCAACCTCCTTCTTACACCCCTCTTCTTCTTTTACTGGGTTTAGGAGACAACCCTTACAAGCACTCACTTCTCCTAAACAGAATTCTAAACTTAGACTTAGAGGAGGGGATTTCTCAACTGATTGCAATAGCATTTCTTCACTTTTAAACTCTTTGTTCTTGTGTATTTAACCAGGGATGAGAGGGGTCTTTATAGGCTTCAGGTTGATTCAAACTTTGAGCCTAAAAACATCTCATCCCGGGTTTCCTTGGTCCGGGCGGTACCACTGCTTGTGTTGGGCGGCACCATCGCTTGTGTCAGTCTGACACTGACATTACACTGGGCGGTACCACTACCTAGGAGGCTGTGTTGGCGGTACCATTGCCCAGATTGGCAGTACCACCGTCTGCAGCCTCTCGGAGGCTGTGTCTGGGCGGTACCACCACCCAAACTCGCGGTACCACTACTTGACATAGTCTCGGAGATTGTGCTACGACGGTATCATCTCTTGGGGCACTGTTTGGGCCTTTTCATTGGGCCCAACATAGTTCTTACATGGGCCCAACTGGCCCCTAATTGGGTTGGCCTAAATCCAATCCAAATTACATACTAACTATGAAATCTAAAGCATACTTAAGATAAACAAGTCCCTAAGTCTTGGTTTCTTCCGGCGAGCTTCCAATGATCTCCCGACAATGTTCCAACGGACTTTTGGCAAGCTCCTGGACTTCATGATGATCTTCTTAGCGAGTTCCGACGAGCTTCTCTGGCAAGCTCCGGGACTTCTCGGTAGAACTTTCGATGAACGTCCGGACTTCTGACGAACTCTCGAACTCCCAACGAAATCACATCCTTGACTACGAGACTTCATTTTGCTTCATGCCTTGCTATCGTAGTTAATCCTGTACATGTAAAAACACACTTTGATCTAGACAATTAATACTAAGCAATAATTATGTTGTCCGTGTTGAATCTTGGATTTTGATGATGAAATCAATTGATGGGTTAATTGATCTAATCCATATTATTGAAGTTAAGTGTGCAGGATTAACTACGATAGCTTAAAAACATAAAGCAAGGATACCAGAGTCAAGTTCGATGGACGATTGAGAATCCGAAGATTCGTCGGTGATGCTGTCGGAACCAACCAAGAAAGATCGAAGACGTATCGGAACTTTCAGAAGTCTGCCGAAGAGATCGTTAGAGGTTCGTAGAGATCACCGAGAAGGCTCGGCTACTCGTTGAATTCGTCACAAGATCGGGAGCCTGCTGGGAGTCCGTCGGAAGAAACCCGAGGGTGTATCAGAAGTCCGCTGGAAGATCGTAGGAAAGATCGTCGAAACAAAACTCGACGTTTGCCTGTTAAAAACTTGCTTAGGATTATGTTTTTGGGTATGTAGTTCATATGTAATTAGGGTTAGGATTAAGGGATAATCCTATATCTTGGTTAGGGGCCAATTGGGCCCAAAAGTGACCTGGTTTGGGACGGAATTAAAGCCCAACTAGAAATCTGTAGGGACGGGCAGTGGAACCGCCGGACTGGGCGGTGGCATCGCCCAGAGCCCGAAGTGTCAGGTGGTGGCACTGCTAGACTAGGCGGTGGCACTGCCCAGCACTTGAGATCAGGCGGTGGCACCGCCAGTACACCGTCTGACAGACATTGACAGGCGGTGACATTGCCACCGACAAGCGGTGGCACCGCCAGTCTCAGAAACCCAAGAGAATTCAAAGTTTGGAGCCTAAATTTGAATCCTCTTGGGGCCTATAAATACCCCTCAATTCTCAGCAGAGAATACAACTTTTGAAAAGCATTAGTTTGAGATAAGAGCCTTAGCAAAGTCTTAGCAAGTCTTGTTTTAAAATTGCTTGAGTGTTCATCTCCTTTCTTCTTGTTGAAAAATTGTAAGAGTGTGAACCACTTGTAAAGGTTGTAAGAGAGGTATTAGTCCTTCCCCTTCAAGTGATTTGCTAGTGGAAGATGGAAGCCTCATTGAAGAAGGCTTCGCAAGTGGATGTAGGTCATTTGACCGAACCACTTTAAATTGGCGTGTTCATTGAATCTATGAGTACTTACCTTTCTGCAATCATTTCTAGTTTCTTACTTTACTCAAGTTACAATCAAAGCGAAATCTCCTTGCATTTTTATGGAATCATTTTCGAACTTACAAGTTTTAATCCGCTGTACTAATTCACCCCCCCCTCTTAGTGCCGCTCCGATCCTAACAATTGGTATCAGAGCAAGGCTCACTCTCATATTTGGTTTAATACCCAAGAGAGATGGCTTACTCCGGCATGCATGAGGGTCATTCTATCACACCTCCACCTATGTTTAATGGGTCGGATTACACGTATTGGAAGACCTATATGAGGATCTTCCTCATTTCCATGGATTTCGAGCTTTAGACTATTGTCGAAAACGGATTTCAAAAATCTTCTCTTCCGATGAGCGAATGGAATGAATCGGAGAAGAAGGTTTTTGCTTTAAACGCAAAGGCTATGAATGCCTTGTTTTGTGCACTAGACAAAAATGAGTTTAATCATGTTTCAATTTGTGATTCGGCGTTTGATATTTGGAGAAC